ACATGATCGTGTTAATAAGGAGTTATGAAAAGCGTAAGAAATAGTCATCTAGTGATTGCAGGGCAAAGGAAAGCTTCGCTGGAAACTATTTTCTTGAAATCGCTGAACGTGAAGTCTTAAGTCAATATACGTTGAATTCTATTAACAAAATGGTAGCCTCTTAAGGAGTAACATGGCACAGATAAATTACCCCCTGACGGTACAGTCCTAACAAAATTGTGCTCCCCATTTTTTAAATTTCGTTTAATGTTTACATTAAGAACGTAACTTAGAAAAAATTTTACTTTTGTTATGTTGGTAATTGGAGGCAAGCGGTAGCGTATTTCATTGAGGCACTATGCTACAAGCCGGAAGGTCGCCGGTTCGAGTCCCGTGGAGGTGGATTTTTTTTTCAATTTACTTAATCCTTCCAGCCGCACTATGGCCCTGGGATCGACTCAGCCTCTAACAGAAATGAGTAGCAAATATTCCTGGGGGTTAAGGGGCGGCCGGCGCGTAAGTCTGACAACCTCACCGCCATCTGTGAGAGTCTGGAGAAATATGGGAGCCTCGACGCCTCACAACCCTATGGGCCTTCACTGCCTGTTACAGGGATAGCTTATCTTCTTTTATAAAGGTGGTAATTTTAATTTTTTTTTTCCAAATGACTCTCTTCTTTTCCTTCTCGCTTCTAGTTACTCGTATATTCTTTTTCTTCCTTTCTCATTCCGTTCTGTTACATCCCCATCCTCTTCTTTCCGAACTTGTGTGTGTTAATATTCAGTTGACATTCACCTCCATGTCTGGTAAAATTTAACGTTTATTTCTTCCACAGGAGCGCAGCACGAAGTGAAATCGCCGAATAGAACAAGACACGTAATACTTCCAAATTTGTATTTTATTTTCAAATAATAGAAAAATAACCCTTAAAAATCACTGTGTGTCTGAAATCACGGGCCTCAAGTGTTGGAAAATAAAATGTATCAATTCATAATTGATAAAGTTTCTCAACAATAGGCTTATACGGATATCGATTTACGATAAGAATTTTTGCCGTTCAAATGTTCAACAGAAGACGAAAGAAACGAAAAGGATTTGTATCTGTAACTGAAGTAGTAACCTACCTTAGTCAAGGATGTTGTTATGTTGCTTGTGAAAATCACCGTGTACAGCTACATAAACTTAAAGAAGGACTAACGCTTAAATTAAGAAATTAAAGTACATTACTGTAATGAAAACGAAGGAATCGAATAGGATGCAAAACCTCTTATTGTATTACATGTACATCCTTTCGGCAGTCTTGGCTACCGTACGTACCTGCAACAGTATGGAGTATATTTCATATCTTCTGGTACCCTCGGTTAGGCCCGCATTAGGAAAGAGGATATAAAAAGTTACTTTTTTATATATAAGTGTACACATGGCTCAAAAACCCACACGCCTTCCTGCCCTAGACGAATATAGAATGAAGGTCAACAAGCGGAATTTGTGAGTTAATACGAGCATGATCTTGCCATCTTCTATTTTTCACAGATGTAGAACATTAAACTTTAACAGTAAATGATAACTTGTGCACATATATATATTATAAGGGACAATACAGTAAGGCCTCACTAATTCGGACAAATTGGGAGCGAACCGTTGTCCAAATTAGTGAAAGTCCGAATTATAGAACTGGTACTAAAACTATACGTATTTAGATAAGCAATACAATGGACTAAACATGTATCTGTAGGTATTTTTGAAACTTAGATTTCATATTATAAAATAAATTTAATCTTTACGTCCATTATTTATCGTCCGTCACTATTGCAACATTTCTTTTTTCACTACTTAATTTTAATTTTCACTTTGACACTACAGGTTTCTGCCCCAGACGGCCATCGTCAGGTAACTAGTAAAGACAACACCACACGCTGTGGAGGAAACACGCAAACCAGGGACATATGGCAGTCATAACTGAAAAGCAGGCTACGAACATGAGGGGCAAACTGCCGAGACAAAACACCCTGGACAGACATACGTTTATGAAAATGGACGACACTCCGTGTGAGGTGAAATAAAATGCACCAAAATAACGTGGGTATAACAGAAACTTTAAAGGATTTTATATGGTTTTACCTTAAAAGAGGACTACAGCGTGTGATTTTAACACGACCCAAGACAGTGTAGAATAAAATACAGAATTCAATAAAATATTTGTAAAAATATTTGTAACATATTAAGATATCTGAAGATGGCCGTCTGGGGCCGAAACATGTAGCGTCGAAGTGAAAATTCCATTATTTTCTTCTTTCTTTGTCTGTTTTCTGCTCTTACTCTCTTTAATTAATTTCTTTTCTCAAGAAGTGGGCTCACATTCGAATTGGTGGTGTCTCAAAAGACTGAAGTGGATCTCCTGCCTTTGTTATTACTAGAAATCAATGGAACTAAATAATCCAACCTTACATCCGGTACTATGACTCGCGTGATGAGGGCCACCCGGCAGTCGACGTCTCTCCCGGAGTTCAGCGTCTGTCCGGCCTGCCGTCTGTCTGTCTGTCCGTCCGTCCGTCAACAGCAAGGGGAGTGTAATTTCAAACACGGCACGCAAGAAAGGGCAACTTGAAATGTTTAAATGACATTTCCAATAAAGCGAAGTGCACATTTTTTCTGTTGTATTTGAAGATCTCGTGACGGTGAATGTGAAGATTATCTTCTTGGATATGATGCCGTGTAGCCCGGTAGAAGTTGGCGGACATTTCGCCTCCTTCTTCAGGGATAAAGAATAAACGAAGAAAGCTAAAGGAAACAGCCGGTGCCTCTGCTTGCTGCTTTCTTTGGTGAGCTTTTTTCTTCGATTTAGAAGCAATACGTTCCTCCGAAACGTCGGAAGACTTTTACCACATACACTACGTCACATTGCAGAGGATATTCTTAATAATCACGCCTCGAGATGTTCAAATCAAGTATAAATTATCTGATTCCATGGTGCAGGGTCATTTTTGACAAGCTCATAATCGCTTATTCAGTCATGAAATCGCATTCCTTTTAAGGAACACGAAAAGTTCGTTAAGGTACACGAAAATTTCGTTACTGTGTTCACAGGAGACCGTCACTGGACAAACGAAACCAGTCCACATCCTGACACCTTTTTAAGATCCATTTCAATATTATTCTCTTAAGTCTCCAAAATTATGTCTTCCTTCGTGTTTTCCTGACCAGATCTTTGTGTCTATTACCCATCTTCCCTTTTCTGAACACATTCCCAATTAACAGAGGGTATGCCCTCTGTTGTTGGCGGCAATCGGTAGCGCAGTTGGTTGAGGCACTATGTTAAAAACCGGAAGGTCGCGGGTTTGATTCCCGATGAAGTCACTGGAATTTTAAATTGACCTATTCTTTCCAGCCATATTATGGCCCTGGGGTCGCCTCAGTCTCTAATAGAAATGAGTACCAAGAATCTTTCTGGGGTATAAAGGGCGGCAGGCGCTTAAGGCTGACAACCTTACCGCCATCTGTGAGCCGATTGTCTAGATACGAGTAATGTGGGACCCTCAACATCTGACACCCATATGGGCCTCCATGGCCTGTTGCAGGGATACCTTTACTTTACCTCTGTTGTTAACACATCTTTCCATACCAGAGCACATCTTTGAAATAGGTCACAGACTTTTACTTACACATCCTTACATGCTCATAACTTCATTTTCTTTTCCTTGGCACTGCAGCCCCAAGGCCTACCTCCATGAACTTCTCCGTTCACTTCGGTTTTTCCAGATCTTACACATTCGGTAGGACTTCGGTAGCAGTCCCCGACTGCTTCCTTCCAAATCCTTTCCAATTCATCATTCATCTACCATATCTTTCGACGTTGATGCGATGAAGTTCATCTACTCAGCAACATACATTACGTCATACCTTGTGTCGCCAACCTTACGGAAGAAAAGTACCGTGTGAATGTACCCGAATTTCCCACCGACAGAAGAATACCGGAAACGTGAAGTAAAGTAAAGGTGTCCCTGTAACAGGCCGTGGAGGCCCGTAGGGTTGTGAAACGTCGAGGCTCCCACATTATCTAGACAGTCAGCTCACAGATGGCGGTGAGGTCAGCCTTTCGTGCCTGCCGCCCTTTACCCCCAGGAATATTCCTGGTACCCATTTCTGGTTAGAGGCTGAGTCGACTCCAGGGCCATAGTGCGGCTGGAAGGATTTAAATTAAATTCGATTAGTGGGGGTTGGAGTCCAACTGGGTCCACTCGGCACGGCGGCAACTGATTGGCCTATTGTAGCCTGCTACGGGTGATTATGATGATCGAGAATTTGGTGGAATGAAGATTGGCAGAGGAAACCGAAGTACTCAGAGAAAACCTGCCACTTTGTCCACCACAAATCCCACTTGACCAGACCAGGGATTGAACCCTGGCCGGCGCGGTGGAAAGCCAGCGACTAACGACTTGAGCTATGGCGCGGCCCTGTCTGGACGGGTTAGGTCAATTGAAAAAAAATCCATCTTATCGGGATTCGATCCCACGACCTTCCGGCTTGTAGCATAGTGCCTCACCCAACTACGCTACCAATCTAATGACTTCACTGCGTTACTAAGTGACCATGTTACACTTTCTTTCACGTAATATGAGTAGATGGACTTTAATCTGAGCAACCGAAAGCGTCGTGAGATATCCCCTCCCCCCCAGGAGTGCCAGACACCGATAATATCGGATCGTGTGAAAGCAGCACATCTAGCAGCTGTGTGCCACCTTCCAGATTACGGCATGGTCACAAAGACTGACAAATGCTGAGGTGATAAATTAGTGGATAGCATTGCACTAATAAAGATGTGCCTGCCAGTCAGTTCCAATAGCCACAACCTTCAGCCTTATTGAGCATGTTACTATGCCTATGCTAACTGTGAATTCCTATTCTGAAAGGGAGTAAGGGATGAGAAAGTGGAGGGGGGAGAGAGACTATATTTGAGGAGGGGAAAAAGAAGAAATCAGCTTTGAAGGTTTCCAGCAAGTGTCCGCTTGTTTCTGTAGTATGTTGGAGAGATGGTAAAGCACTGGGAAGTGAAAGAGGTAAGGCGTTGAGAAGTGGAAAAGGTAAAGTAGAGGGAAGTGAACTTTGTTATGCGCAAAGGAAAGATGGTGAACAGTGTCTGTTTCTGCGTTACAAAGATCAGTCGGTTAATGGCGTTTAGTGAAATAGTCGCTTTTTATTCTCATAATCATGCGAAACACACATTTTGTGTGTGTATATGTACAATATATATATATGTACATAGTGAGCGGGAAAAATGCTGAGGTTCTGATTGTGAAAACAGGTGGTTCACGTATTTATTACTGTGTTTCAGGACTGGCCTGTCCGATTAAAAATTACTGAAGGGCCTCTTTGTACAATTTTATTCATACCCGCGGGACGAGTTTTGCACCAAAAAAAAAAAAAAACCCCGGCCCAGGCACACGAATAAGAAGTGGATACATACAATTCAAATAAAAAGGTAAATTTGTTCCTGTGCTTTAACTATTCGCTTAGTGGGGGGTGGACTCCAACTGGGTCCACTCGGCACGGCGGACACTGATTGGCCTGTTGTAGCCTGCCCCTGATGATTATTATGATGGAGAATTTGGTGGAATGAAGATTGGCAGAGGAAACCGAAGTACTCGGAGAAAACCCGCCCCGGCGCCACTTTGTCCACCACAAATCCGACTTGACCAGACCCGCGATCGAACCGGGGCCGCCGCGGTGGGAAGCCAGCGACTAACCGCTTGAGCTGTGGCGCGGCTTACGTAATCATGATACTGAAAACGTAGTTGAATAACGCACGAAAAGGAAAATGAAATAAGAAGGGGTGATAACTTTGACGTTCGATGAAATCTATTTTGAAATAAGAAATGAAAAGGGAAAAATTGTTTGGCGCGAAAAATTTGTAACTTGTTCTAACGAAGCAGACTCTTTGATTGATATAATTTGTTGTATTTTATGCCAAGTCATTATCAGGAAGTTGTCAAAGAGTTACGTCAGTTGTTGACCTCTCTCACCTCGTTCATTTTTACGCCTTTATCTAAAAGTTGGTAGGTTAAACTTAGAGTGTTAAGGACGAAGTGACAAGGAAATCATTCGGACTTAACAAATTGAAAGTAATAGGAATGGACAAAGATACAAAATGAAAACGTTTATACCCTTATGTCTGTTTTGTACCCTTGTCCTAATTTTACTAAAGTAGTTAAATCGAGGAGATGGGTTAGGATGGAAATGTAGCACGCATATGGCAGTGAGAAGTGAGCACAATATTTTAAAGCGAAAACCTGGAAGCGTGAAACCGGTTGGGGGATATAAGCATAGGTAGGAATAAGGTAAATGTTAGTTTTTTATTATTATTCTTAGTGGGATGAGACTGAGTCCACTTGGTACTGCGGCCACTTCTGGCCCACTGTACCAGCACCAGATGGTAGATGATGGTGATTGTGGAGAAACTGGTGGAATGAAGATTGGCAGGGGAAACCGAAGTACTCGGAGAAAAACTGCCCCAGCGCCACTTTGTCCACCACAAACCCCACATGACTTGACCCGGTCTCGAACCCGGACTGCCGCTGTGGGAAGCCAGCGACTAACCGCCTGAGCTATGGTACGACCGTCCCTGTGCTTAATTAATCAAGCACTACGCCATGAAGGCGTATAGGGGAGTATACGTATAGATCCACATTTTCTTTACCTCTGCACTATATGGAGGCGAGTGGTCACCTTCACCCCCCGCCCCCCTTCCCCCCCCCGGAAAATCGCCGCCGCTACCCACTGGATAGGGTGTGTGGGTCCCAGAGACGGTCTGCACGCATAATATTACCTCTGCCCTGAATCGAACCCCGGGCGTCTAGCCCATATTTCGTCACTATAGTGACTGAACTATCCCGTCTCCTATAGACAGGAGACAATTTTAAACAATTTAAACAATCTACCGTAATATATTTTTTATTTTTATATTTTACCATTTTACACAACATATTTATCACGACATTTCTTAAAAATTAATCGATTTGATTTTGCAATTCTGTAACGCTGTTTTTCAATTATTTATTTGTTTACACCTGTTGATCGTCCATGTGGTGAAACATGTAATGTAACAAGACAAATATGATCGATTGACATATCGTATGTACTTTAATAGATTTTGTTAAATCATAATCATTCTACTTCGTTGTTGTGTCGACGGCCTTAAAACTGTCAAAATTATTGTTGTTACCAATTGAGATAATAAATTTATATTTGGCGAGGAGAGACACGCAGAATGGTTGAGTTTTGATGAAATGTCCCCACATGAAACTGAGGTTCTGTTGCAGTGGGCTGTGTTTATATTTGTACGCCGGATTCGAATAGCCGCGCGCAGGGTGATGTGGCAGCAGCAGTAAGACAGTTGCGAGCGAGCGGCCGAGCGCGCTAGCAGCAGCAGCAGTTGACCCCCCACGCAGAGCTCGCTTGACTAGCGCGAACCCGCCTGCAGTGCAGTGTAGCCGGTACCATCTCGTCTCTATATAAAACTCACAGAACAAATACCATCTTTCATCGACGTTGAAGCAAGCAAAAACATGTTCAATTGTTGATTTCTCGTAACTGTGAAGCTGTGGCGTGTGTTGATTTTACAGTAATCCAGACGAAACATTACATCTACAAGTTAATCATGCAGCAACAGCGTAACATTACATCTAGAATTATTGACAATGGGGAAAGAATATATAGATGCTGTTAGAAAGAGAGTAAATGTTAATTTACAATTGCGTAATCTTTTTATTTGAAAAGTATATGACGACGGGATCAATAGTGCTTGTGTACGGCGACGCCATGGAATCGATACATGAAAGTAACAGTTGAAGCCGGCTGGGATGAGCGGGTTACAGACTACATCACTACACTGCATATTTTGCATTCTTGTGACTTCGCCCAAAAGGCATCATCATCATCACCACCATCCATACGGAAGAGGCGATCCGTTTTTACCGAGATTACGTCATTATTGTTCCTACCACCAGGACCAGTGTAATTATAAACAATATAACTTAGCTACAACAGCATCGGCCTTTATGAACGGGACAGTCCACATCTGACAAGATACCAACACTTTTCTGTAAGCAAATATTTATTTTGCATGAAATGAATATCGGTGTTTGCTGTGTATTTTGTTTTAGTTTGTAATTTGGTGACACCGCTGGTATGTCTGCCAATTGTTTGCGTAATTATGTGTTTCTTGTATAGGTTTTTAAAATTTAAATTGTGATCATATTTTAAGGTTAATTTGCTTACCGTTGGAATCTTTCGTTATATTTCAAATTTACGAAATAATGAGACGTGTAATTTGTAGTTTTTTAATCCACTAATAATTTGCCGTATATTTGAATGCCGATTAAACTTCATTTTACTTATGGAACCTTTTAATCCAACATTTAAAGTATTAACCTAATGGAAATTTCTAAAACTATCAACTTATTTTCGTGTCTCACTATAATGCGTAAAGAATGTGGGGAGTTCGAAACGCGAATCACAAGATATGTGGTGGCAACAGCCCTCTCATTATTTATGTACTGTTGGCATTAAAATTCATGAATATGTTTAGTTTAATATTTTAATGGTTATGTTTATAATTAACCACGATCTTTTTACTATAATCATAAATATTTGTTTTTGCTCTAGTTTTTTATCTAGTGAAGGTTGGTACTTCTTCTCGCCATTGTTTCTAGACTAAAATGTACAAAGACCTGTCTTTCAATTCGAGAATGGTAAATATCACATAATGTCCCTGCGTTTAGTCCTGACCTTTCTCAATAGAATTCGCAGGATTTCTGGTGAAGCCCATTAACTGAGATACCGACTGTTTGGCGTGTAGGAATTATCACTGGTCCTTAGTTACAGTGCGTCACGTAACCTACCACAATACAGATGCAACCACTGCCTCGCTAGTTGCCATGCTGTTCCTCACCCACACCTCAGAGGCCAGATCTAAATGGACGGTCTTTTTATGCATGCAGAGGTAGTTTAAAATAAGCCATTCTGTGTTACGGAAAGCATATATTAAAATATTAATGTGAACATTTCTTAGTCGCAGTTAGGAAAATGAGATAGGAGGCCTTTCAGCGTGAAATTTAAGAAAATTTTTATTTTCATTGTATTGAAAATATCCAAAGTCTGGGAATGTTAACATTAATATTTGTCTACTGTTCCTATTTTGGGGAAAAAAAATTAATGTAGGCTTGAGATCGTCTTATTTTCTGTGTGTCTGTATGTGTATCCCAATATCGTTGCTAGACAACGGCTCTGTAAATACGTTCCCGCGGCAACGAACCCATACACAATAATAGAAGGATTGTCGGACGCGTCGTGTTCCATGCGGCCCGTGTCGTATTAAAGGGGAGTAGGCGACTAGTTCTTCACAGAACTTCTAGTTGCATACGTGCTTCATGTCTACCATTTTAAGTCATCATAATAATGAGGCGATTGGACAGTTATGACGCAAAAGTCATTTAGAGCCTAATAAGAGGAAATAGGTCCTGACATCAGTTCAGACTGAAACGGGTTTACAAAGTTAGGTACTCTTAATGGTGGTGTATATACATAATGAGGAAATTTCATTCACAGACTCAAGGCTTGTGACTCACCAGCGTTAATCTCGAGCACAGAGTGATCAATCTGTAACCGATCATTCGTTAAATCTTTGAAGTACGATTTTTTTAAATATTTAAATATTAAGGCCATAAACTACAAGAACCCCAACAGTCTCCTATCCAATGGGTGTCCGGTTTTTTCTTCGGGGGTAAAGCGTGGGGGGCGTGAAGCTGACCACTCACCATCTAGTGGCGAGGTCAAGAGTAGTAGAGCTATACCTCCACTCCCCCACAAGTCTTCATGATACAGTTCTTAATTATTTAAGCACTTAAATACGCCCTTTGGACAATGTTTTTAGCATATTTTGGAAAAATAAAAGTAAGCGTATGAGGTCACCATGCTATTTGTGTATTTATTTATCTCCCCGTAACAACTTTAGAATGCCGGTCACGGTAGCTGAGCGGTCTAAGGCGTGCACTGTCTTCGCTAGCTCAGAAGCTGGTATCGTGGGTTCGAATCCCACTCAGGGAACGGATGTTTAGTCTGTGTGTGTGCGTTTTTCTGTGTTTGTGTACAGGTAGAGGCCTTGCGACGAGCTGATCACCCGCCCAAGGAGTCCTACCGAATGTCTAAGATCTAGAAAAACTGAAGTGAACGGAGAAGTTCATGGAGTTAGGCCTAGGTCCACTGGGGCTGTAGTGCCAAAGAAAAAAAAAACAACTTTAGAATGCCTGAACCAGTCCTTATGAAACATTGTGTTATATCATGGCATCTGAGCCCGTCTCAGCAGCGTACCTCATAAATCCATCTCATTAGTCTGTGTGTCTGTATGTGAATCCTCCCATCGTTGCTAGGCAACGGCTTGGTAAAACTTACGACGGCAATGAATACACACGCAACAATAGAAGAATTATTGGAAACGTTGTTTTCTAAGCGGTCCATATCGTATCAAAAGAAATTCCCAGAATTTCTTGGGTTTAATATAAAAGCATGTGATTTATACAGTAACACAGTGCTTAAAAAGTTATGTCAGTTCTTATCATCAAGAGTCCATTTTGTAAGCCCAGCTGGGCAATAAATATTAGTTATTGTTGGCCAATGAGTTACTTTATCACTAATAAATTACGATTATAACCATCTGAGGCAGATATTCTTATCGTGAAATATGCATATTATGTACCAACTCCTTTTGTTACGCACACACGCTATGCTGTGTATATCAGCATTGTCTTGAATTCCACGTGTTGAAAGTGAGCATAAAGTTTGTAGCCCGGAAGCAGCCTTACTGGTTGCATAAGGAGAGTGGGAGTATGGGCAGTTGGAGCAGAGATACATGTATCTTTCGGATGCATTATCAGCTTTCTGAACGGCCTGAATGTTCACTTATTGCGAATGTTGCAAAGCTGATCACTACACATAACACAAAACACAGAATCAGGGATGAGAGAGATTAGTTGGAGCCCAGACCAGTCACAAGACTGTGGTCCCCACCCCACTCCGATAACCATGTATTTTTTTATTGCCAGTGGGGTGGGACTAAGTTCCTTATACTGCGGCCACTTCTGGCCTATTGTACCAGCCCCAGATGATAGGTGAGGGTGATTGTGGAGGAATTGGTGGAATGAAGATTGGCAGGGGAAACCGAAGCACTCGGAGAAAACCTGCCCCAACGCCACTTTGTCCACCACAAATCCCACTTGACCAGACCGGGGGTCGAACCCGGGCCGCAGCAATGGGAAGCCAGCAAATAACCGCTTGAGCTATGGAGCGGCCCTTATTCTGAAAGTAAGATTAATTTATTAAAAAAAAAAGACTCGGGGGTCTGTAGTCCGCAAGCGAACTATACCGACCGAGCGACCACCGCTTGGCGGCGAAGTTAGTGCCAACTTTCACGAATAGAGTGTGTCGCGTTGTCAGCACAACGGATCCACACGGTCATTAATCTCGGTTTTTAGACCGGAGCCGCTATTTCCTGGAAATAGCTCTTTAATTATCCTCACGAGGCTGAGTGGACCCCGTTCCAGACCCATTACTTCTCAGAAAATCTGGTAGCGCCGAGAATCGAACCCGGAACCTCTGAATCTGTGGCTAGGAATTCTGAGCACTAGACCACGGAGTCCGTCAGGACTCATTTATTTCTTTTTTGTCCATTTAACAGCGATTTAGTATGGTCAGGCTCTATGTCTGGAATGCTGGGACGAGTAGGGACACGAACTGGAAAGAATGTTGAAGGAATCGATCATGGCGTAAGTTGAAGCATCACTTACTGTCCCGGCTATCGCCTGAAAGGCCTGAGGAAAACTATGAAATACGTTAATCTCTATAGTTGGTGTTCGGGCCGAGATTTGAAGGGAGCGCCACCTCAGTATAAGTCAAAAAGATGTTCCTTGAGCCAACTTTCTCGAAACTAAAGATATCTATTCTTAGATAATTAGTAAGCCTGCTTACGAGTATACCGGAGGTCAGTAAATCCTAAGGTATCTACCCGTGTTCTGTTTGAGAATTTCTATGGTTTTTCTCAGTCCCTCCTGGGTAATATCTCTGTTAGACCACGAATTTTTCCTTCCAGATCATTTCCAGTTCATGAATCACTCCCCCTTTTGTGTCAGTAGAGCTCTGATATTGGCAACTTAGTAAAATAAACCCCAAAAGAGAAGAATTTTCTTCAGTGGGGTTGGTTAGTGTATACTTACCGGTAATGTTATGTGATAATTGCTGGAATGACTGTTGAAGTGCATTTTTATTGCTCTGTGAGCATTGTATTGAAACCAGGCAAAAGAAAAAAGATGTCTATTTTCTTTGAGCACTATTTCTCCAGTAAAGCTCGTAGTGCCAAAGAACTGCAAACAATAGAATTCGGATGTGCTCTTCGCAGATGAAACTTTGCGAGGAGACATTTCATTTCGCGTGTTTTTATGCATGAATGAATGTATGTAATCTGTACGTATGCATGCATGAAGAAATATATGTTTTAACTGTATATATGAATGAATAAAGGAGCCATGAGACGGCAGTTAGAAGAGTAAGAGGTAGGTGTGAAATGGTCGCCAGCCTGCGAGGTCGTGAACCCGGAAGCAGAGGAACGTCCACTCTTGGAAGGCGTTACCAAGCAGAGCAGTGAAGACCGTGATAGTGATTTTTAAAATGTAGTCACGAGCTCTTTAATAGTTTAGTAAATTCGGTTACCAATCCAAACCCCGTCTATAGTCACTCGACAGGCGACAGTATGTATGCAATCTATGTATGTATGTATGTATGTAGGCAGGCCTATTTATGGGTGCGAGAGTGTTCGTACGTGTGTATGTGCATTCTAAAATTCATCTTTGATATGTTTTGGTTTCCGTACAAAGAAACTGAATAATCAGCAACGCACTTGAGTAATGCTATTTCGCATTCTGGAAGTTATGCATCTGATTATGGCTCCGGGAACCAGCTATGCTGACTTTTTCATTTCCTCATTTTCTACAGATAAATCCTGTTATAATACTTTAAAACATGCCACGACTCTTTCCTTCTACATAATTCCCA